TGCCTTGAATAGGTAAACCCTCATTGGAACATTTTGGACTGGGGTTCACATAGCCTCAGGGTAAATCTAGTTGCTGAACCCACAGTAAAACTATCGCAACTGATTGGACGAAAATGAATCAAGGACTCATACTAGCAACTCCTGATTAAAGACCTGTAAATAGCGATCTGACAGACCCTGTTTGCAGACGGTCAGAGTTTGGTGAATCTGAAACTGGATGTCACAGACGATGGTAACTACACAGTGAAAAATATACGATGGAGAGGCTTTAAGCTGTTGTCCTCTGTCGTGTTCCCTCACCTTGGATTCACAGCTTAAATTATGAATTATGTGTGTGCAATCCAAGGTGATGCCATTTACTTTGAAGAAACTGGCTGATTACTTGTTCATCAGAGCCGACTTTGTCAGTTTCGATTACACTCCCTTCAACTTTTCGTCAGTTCACATTAATGTTGTTGGTGGTAACACACGGACGGATAGCAGACACTGCCTCTTACCCAATCACCCACCCAGTGGGGTGCTTTCAACCCGGGCACTTTCTTTGCACATCTGAAACAGAATTGGGTAACAGAGAAATAATCCGGGGCTTGTAGTTAATTCAGAAACTGTGCCGTCCTTACTGAAGGCCCGATTCCTACAGAATGAATGTGGAAAATCAATTTGAATCCCTTGAGTTTCGATGCTATAAAGCCTTTCTCGCATTGTTGATAAAAATAATTCCCAACCAAAATATGCCCAAAAGTATGATCATTTGACAGGCCATCCATGAGTGTTCCTAGTTGGATGCGATTGGTGTACAGGACCTTTGTTGTACATCTTGCTGACTGAGTTCAAACGTATTCATTTTAAGTATATTTACTGAAGTCGAGTGGAAGTATTCAGCTGAGAAGTTATCAGTCAGAGTCCTTCCTGAATCTCATTCACAGAGCCACCATGGTATCGATTTAAAGGAAACCAGTATACGACTGGTGATTTGAGGAGATTGGGCAACTTTCGATAAGTTGGAAAAAGTTTGGAACCGATTGAGAGTATTCAGCTGGTATCAGTCAGAGTCCTTCCTGAATCTCATTCACAGAGCCACCATGGTATCGATTTAAAGGAAACCAGTATACGACTGGACTGGTGAGGACTTTGGGCAACTTTCGATAAGTTGGAAAAAGTTTGGAACCGATTGAGAATTCATCGTTTCAGAAGAGCATGGTAAACAATCGGTAGGTTTTATTTGGGCAACGTTTCGCTTTTGACACCAAAGCTTCATCAGGCCAAGTGAACAGGTCACCAAATTGGCCAGGTTATGAGACAGACGGGGAACCAATCAGTAAGTCCTCTTCAAACTAGATCAGTGTTGAGTGTCAATTAACAGCTCCTGTCGACTAGCGTGGGTGTCAAAATCTTGAATTGGTGGGTTGGAGGAG